CCATCTTAGCTGCAGAGGGCAGTGTCACTGGCCCTCATATGTGGGATCCGAACCGGGGTCCTCTGGCGTCCCAAGCCAGTTCTTAACCAACGCGCCACTTGGCTGGCCCTATCTCCTACTTTATTTTAAGGAATTAGCTTACATGATGATGGGAGCTGGCAAGTCCAAAATCTACAGGGCAGGCAGCTAGGACAGAACTCGATAGGAGCTGATGCTGTAGTCTTAAGGAAAATTTTTTCTCCTAGGAAACCTCAGTTTTGTTCTTAGGCCTTTCAACTGATTGGGTGAGGTCTACCCAAATGATTGAGGGCAATTTATTTTACATAAAGACAGCCAATTGCAGAAGTGAACCCCATCTACAATATACCTTCCCAGCAAGACCTAGATTAGTGTTTGATTAAATAACTGGATATTGGCCTTGCCAAGATGACACATAAAACTGACCGTCACAGCAGGAAACCAGTGTCTAGAGTGTAGTGAGATGAGGGAAGGAAACTAGATAAACTAGGGAAGCTAGGCACGGGTCTCAAGGCCAGGATACAGCATATAGCTTTTATTCAAACTCATTGGGAAACTACGGAAGTGTATTAGGAGTGGAGGGTTCATTCACTTTATAATGAAAAATCTGTATTTTATTTTGTTTGTTTGTTTGTTTGTCTGTTTGTTTATTTGTTTGTTTGTTGAATAGCCACTAATAATCAGTAGGACCCAAAATTTAAAAGTAAATTACTCTGGCTGCTCTCTGGAGAATAACATAGGGAATGTATCAGTCAGGTTCTAGTTGAGAGAAGAAACCACATCAACAATATGAAGGTGACTATTTAACACAAGGTGTTTTAACTAGATACAAGGTGGTTAATTGTTTAAAAGGATAGAAGACTATAAGGTGTGCACACAGGTAGCAACTGCAGAGAGCAGCCTCCTGGCTGAGGGAAAGGTAAACAAGAAATAAACTTAGAAACTTGGAGGAGGTCCTGCAAGGCCTAAGGTTCAGACTCTGATGAGAAGATGTAGCTGCTGCAGGCACAAGCTGCCTGCCATTGAGGGGAAGAGAAACTTGCTGAGAGCTGCTCACTGAAGCCATGAGGACCTCAGCTGCTTGGGGGAACACTGCAGGGAGCAGCTGCACACCGCACCCCTTGCTGCCACCTTAAAAAATAACAAGAAGAAAATTCTCTTTCACCTCCTCTATTCTTCTAGACTCCGTCTAGCACCCTCTTTTGGTAGAGCCTAGTATTATATTGACTGGCAAAGGAGAAATGTGGTTGGCTGAGTCCATCTCTAGTATCACAAGTAGGGCAAAGAAGGGTGAGCTTGAAGCTGAGAGGTAATAATTTGATAACTGGCAGGAAGACCAGGGTGGACACAGGGTCTGGTTAGGAAGCTATGGCAATGGTCCAGGGAAGACTGATGAGGCCTGGATGAGGGTGTTGGCAGTGCAGTTAAGAAGAGGACTCATTCAAGTTGTCTATTGGACCTAGCTGCTCAAAAAATGTTAGTTTGCCACCTTAATCATTCACAAGAAGAGAATATTGACAATAAGAAAATTCCTCAGTATGAGTCAGGTTCTTGTCATTACAAAAATAATTCCAAACGTGAAGTCTTAGTGGCAGTATTTATTAATTCACTTATTTTTGTAGTGAAACAAATCAAGAAGACATGATAAATGGAGAAATATTCCATGCTCATGAATAGAATGACTCAATGTTGTTAAGATGTCTGTTCTTTCCAAATTGATCTATAGATTCAGTGCAATGTCAATCAAAAGCCAAAGAAGTTACTTTATGGATACTGACAAACTGATTCTAAAGTTTATATGAAAAGGCAAAAGACCCAGAATAGTCAACACAATATTGAAGAAGAACAGAGTTGGCGGACTGACACTACCTGACTTTAAGACTTACTATAAAGCTACAGTATTCAAGACGGTGTGGTATTTTTGAAAGAGCAGACAATAGATCAGTGGAACAGAATAAAGAGCTGAGAAATAGACCCACATAAATATAATGGACAGATTTTTTACAAAAGAACAAAGGCCATTCAATGAAGTAAGGATAGTCTTTTCAATAAATGATACCAGAACAATAGGACATCCACATAAAAAAAAAACATCCGGAATCTAGACATAGACATCTGTTCATGCAGCAAATATTTATTGATTTCTACTACTCGATAAGTACAGCCAACTATTGTTCTTTAAAAGAGCTCTTACACCTAGTTAAATGAGCATCATTCTCAACTGTAATATTCTAGGAAGGTCTTGATTGCATCATTGATTCTTTCAGCTGAAGGGGAACAGAATATGCCAGCCCCAAATAAGCCACTTTGGCATATTGATTACTTTGAACTAATGCTGTCTGAGAAAAAGCCAGTGCAAGGACACCCTGACCCTCCTGTTTCCCCCTGAAAGCAGGAAATAAATATCCCATGTGAAAGGTACTCTCCCTGCACCAGGAGAGTAGAAGGCATCTTTATCATCAGAGATAGAGAATTTAGGACTGAGAAGGCTATATAAACAAACCTTGTTATGTCTTCATAATTTACAACTCTAAGCTCAAATCTCTGTCTTGTTAATTCTTCACAAATTTATTTATTTATTTATTTATTTATTTATTTATTTATTTATTTATGTTTAAAAGGTATACAGGCTTCCTGTCTTGGTCATTTCTTTGAGTCTCATCTTTTTATGGGGCTCCTGTATATATGAAATTACATTTTTTTTCTCCTGTTAATAAGTCCTATGTAAATTTAATTATTAGATCAGCCAAAGAACCTAGAAGAGAAAAAAACAATTCCCTTTTTATACACAGGGGTCTATCAGGCAGATTACCTAACTAAGGATCAGGTGACTCCTGGCTGCCTGGTTTAAGATTCTATTTCTGGGAGAGCTAAAACTAGTTAAGTCTTGGTTTGGTGAAGTGGGGCTTCACATAAGTGACTCCATATGGGGCCTGTTGTCCTGCTTTTAACAATAGGTAACACAGTCTTAATGGCTACTGCTAATTCATCACTGGTATTTTTCAAATATGGAAAGTCTGATGAAGTTCATAATAGGGATAATACAACTGAAAAGATAATCTAGTTCTTTCTGTGCAAATTAAAGACAAAAAAGAAAAAGCCTCTTCCCCCTGAGCCTCCCCCAGCTTTCCCTTCACTCCCAACATCAGTCATTCAGTCATACAAACAACCCTCCCAGGTATGGAGCCCTGGGTTCCATGGATTCAACCACATAAAGGAGTGGGGGAGGGGAGCTGTCCAAATCCAGTCCTCGGCTAAAGCAAATAATAATGGCTGGAAGCTTAAAATAGATGCAGAGAGGAGTACATTAATATGGCATACGAAGCTGTTCAGCACCTCACATTTCTCATTTTGGAAATTGCTTTGGTTCGTTTTTACTTGCTTCTATTCGTTGGACCAGAAAATACAGACCTTTACTAACATAGTCACCATATCTGATGATGAACTAATTTAGACCGCCACAATAATTATTTGACAGGGACACAGGACTTCAACTTCAGTTCAGAAAATCCCTGACATCTGACGTAGGAGGATTTATAGGTTTAGTGGAAATTGCTTCCTCCTGCTCTTCAGATTACATACTGTGGGTTGGTTTTTCTTTTTTGCATGAGTAAACATCTTTCTAATAATGAACAGACCAATGATGTCTTAAGAGAGAAAAAGAACAGCCTTTTCCTTTTTGCTGTTTCTTGAGAGAACTGTTTGGATTTAGAAACTCATGTTGGCTGTCCAGAATATGAGAGTTGGCATCTTCCTTTTGTGGTGGGGATGGGTTTTGGCCACTGAAAGCAGAGTGCACTGGCGAGGAAGAGAAATCCATGAGATGTCTAAGAAAGGCAGGTGAGTGGGCATTTAGGTGTAGAGGATTTAGGGAAGAAAGTGTGCAAAGCAAGCTTATGGTGGTGTTGTTCTAGAATCATTTCCGGTTTATAATGTTTATGTGGATGCCTTTTCCCTCCCTTTCCCTTTGTTCTCCTGCTTCCTCCCTTTTAGGAAGTTAGAATTATGCTCTTTTTCAATGATGCTAGATCAGATACAGTGCTATCATTGCATATTCTTAAATCTCTTTGAATTGTCCTAGGTACAAGACAGATTCTGGGAAAAAAAGAATACAGTATACGCATGTTTTATAAAAAATTAAAGGCAATTATTTGATGTCTGTACTCTAGGTTGGAATAAATCTGCGAATTCTCAGATAACCGATGGGACCTCTAATTAGTGAGAATGATTCTTTAGTTCTCATTATTTCTGCTGGATGTGTGGGTCCTTTTAAAGATCTTTTAAAAGAAAACAAAGCAGCTTTCTTTAAGCTATATGGCTTGAATGATCATTAGATTGTCCCCTGCTAGTAAATTGGGAGGGTGCAGGGATGGGCCTGCCTGCAGACCAACTGCTAGCATGTTACCAACATGGTACGTGCCGCTCTGACCGTAGCAGCAGGCGAGCAAGGAGCTTAGACAGAGCCAGGCTGTCCCCTCGGCACTCGGACTCACTCAGGTGACTCTGATGACAACACTGGAAACGTACGTGAACGCTTGTACACCTGCTTACCCAGCATTCATCAATAAAATAGGACATTTGGAGAAAACCTAATCCAGCCATTCTTTCTTTATTGATGAGGAAATGGGGGCAGCAAGGATATGCTTGACTCTGCATTCTTTATCAGCCTTAGGTCTAAATTGAGCTTCAGCTTTCTTTATCTCTGGATGTAAATATGGATAGAGGTTGGAAATTTGGAAATATCAGTTAATATGAAAGGAAATCCAGCTTTCTGGAGTCTGGGGCCTGTGGGGGTTCTGGGTGCCCCACTCCTGAGTTTGAGAGAACCCTCCACACATGGGCCCCCCAAAAGCCAGCTGTGGTTCACAGCACTTGTTTGGGGCTGTTGTAGCAACATCACAAAACTAGGAGCTGAAATACCCAGTGGTCATGGTGAGTCCTGGACTCCGAGAGAGACTGCTGTGCACACGCCATGTGCCCTGTTTCTGTCAGAGTCAGGAGTCGCTTGGGAAAAGGGTGGAATTTATGGAGCGGTGTGGCCACAGAGATTACTTAAACCCACTGTGCTCATGAGGATTAAAAACAAAAACAGCAACAACCCCAATCAGTTGTCATCAAAAACTTCTCAGTCTCTCTCCTAAACCAGAGTTAGAGAGTCGCTTCTATACCAATAGTCGCCTATTGGTAAATACCAATGATGAAGAAAAGTCCCAGAAAGTGAAACAGATTGTCTTTAAAAAAATTACTTAAAAGAATTTTCATTTTTTTATTATGAAAAACATATATGACCACTATTTAAATTTTTAAAATTTGGAAAAGAGCTTTTAAAACATGAAAATTGGGCCAGCCGAGTGGCTCAGTTGGTTAAGAGCTCGCTCAAGAGTGCGAGCTCTGAGCAATAGTGGTTCGAGTCCCAGCCCCCTCCAAAAAAAAAAAAACATATAAAAATCACCCATAATCCTCAAACCCAGAAATTACCTTAACATTTTTTGTATATTTTCTTTCAGTTCTTTTTCTAAGTATACGTTGAATATTAATTACTTTGGGATTATTTTGTGCATAGAGTTTTGTAAACTTATTGTATTTAGTATGATTTTTTCAGCACATTTACTTAAAGCCCATAGAATTATTTGAATGGTAGCATATAATGAATAATATGCATAATAATATATAATGTACTACCATTTAAGCATTTCCTCTATTTTATGGACATTTAGTTGCTTCCCTTGTTATAAATATTTGGTATGAATATCTTTGTACAGGAGAATATTTGTCTACATACACACTTAGTTAATTAGGATAGTCTCCTGGCAGTGTACTCAAATGGTACAAGAACACTTAAAGTTCCAGATATATTTGGTAGATTGCTTTCCCAAACATTGGACCCAACTTATACTCCCGCCAGCCAGGTTTTTAGGTAGCCTAAATTTTTCAAGGCCTCATTTAATTTTATCCAGACTCTAAACTCATGAGCTGCTGATAATTTGTATCCAGGCTCCTTTTCATGGTTAATACAAATAAAATGGGAAGCAAGGTAATCACATGCACACAACCAGTGTTGGGCAAGTGAGGTGCCTGCAGTGTAAAATTTAAGGAAGTCCTTAAAGTGAACAACCCTGAGAGTGTGTGTGTATTTAAATTTTGCACCTCACTTGCCTCATTCTAGTCTCTGCTCTGGCAAATAATTCATTTGTTTTTCCCCGAGATATCCATGGGAGGAACACTGAGGTGGGACCATCCTTCATAAATCATGCTGGGTACAGATCATAATGCCAGGGCATTGGGCAATGTTTCTAGAATGAATCAATACTTAATGTCTCTCCCTCCTCCCTGGAAGAATAGAGACATAACCTGTCTATCCCACATGCCCCTGGACAAACGCCAGTTCATGCTCCAGGAGAGCAAACTGATCCGACCAGAAGCTGGAAGTACCATTATCATACTTGCTTTGCCATGCTAAATAATTCAAATTTATTTTGAAGGTAAAGAAGATTTAAATAGTTTCAAGCTGATTTCCATTTTGGAGAGATCACACTGGTGGCAGTATGGTGGAAGGATGGAAAGGGTGCTGGAGGGGAGACAGAGAAAGTAACCCAAAGTCTGTGCTTTAGACCAGAGCAGAGATAGTGAAAGCCTGAGCTAGAACATTAGAGGAGTGAACAGGAATGGAGGAGATGGATCTGAGAGCTTCAAGGAGTTAGGATTGTCAGAATGAGATTGGGTGACAGTCCAGCAGGTTTCTGGGTTGTGTGACTGGGTAGAGCGTGGTTTCAGGGAAAGGACAGCAGAAGGAAGAACAGGTTCGGGGAAAAGATGATGGTTCAGTATGAACCAGTGGACCTGGATGTGCTTGCAAGCTACCAAGAGATAGTTGTCCAGTTAGCAGGCAGTCCTACAGGTCTGCAGCTCAGCAGGGAAGTCAGGCCTGGAGATTCAGAGGGAGTCCTCAGAGGTGGATGTGGGTGAGGTGACCCACAGATAGCATGTAGCATGAAATAAGAACAAGATCAAGGGCAAGACCTTGGGGAAGAACAACATTTAAGGAGAGGATAGAGGAAGAGGACTTGGTGAAAAAAGCTGGAAATGAGAGACCAGAGAAATAGGTATACAACTGGAATAGTGAGGTATCAAAGATGCTAAGAGAGCCATTTATTCGACAGTTATCAAATGCTTATAAGGCCAGCACATGAGGGAGTGATCTATAGGGTCAGATCACACAAAAGTAAAAATCAATTAGGTAAAGGGATGAGAAGTGAGCCCTAGATACACCAGCTAAGAGCCATTAATGACCTCAGCAAGAAGAAACAAGTGGCAGTGGATTGAAAAGAGAGGAGAAAATCGAGTGAATATAGATAACTCATATAAGAAACTTGGCTATGACCGAAAGACTGGATGAAGGTTAGGAAGAGACAGGCAAGAGCTTTTAGGCTAGAAGAGACATCAGTGGGTTCAAATGATGAAGGGCAGAAGCCAGGAGAAAAGCAATAACGATGCATAAGATTTTGCTTTCAAATCCCTGTCCTGACAAAGTGAGAGCCATTGGATTGTGATTGTCTTAAACATTTTCGAATTTGGTTTACTCTTAAGTTAGTAGGGCTCTCTCCTCATCTTGTCCCTTCATTTTCCACATAGTTTACTTGAATTTTTGAATTTCCACTTTGTGCTTCTTGTTCTTGTCTAATTATGACCTACCACTCATCCTTATAGTTTCCTGAGCCTCTGTTAGTGCTGTTACCTATGTTTATAACACCCTTCTCTTGCCTTTTTCTCTGGTTCATTTCTTTCCCTCCTCTAATACATAGAAGATATGTCACCTTTTCTTGGCACTCTTTCACCCCCTGCACCTCAAGTCTTAATTAGTTGACTTTTTCTCAGCTTCCACAGCACACACACACTCACTCACACACACCCCATGCTGGGGGGTGGGGTGGGGTGGTCTGTGTCGAAACCGATGCCATATTTGTAGGGCACAGTCAGCAGACTGACCACTTCCACATTGCCATCTGCCGATAGGACTAGAGTTGTAAAGTACCTCTAGCCTCTCAGGGATGCTGCCTTCTGGGAGAGGCTTGAAAAGTCTCAAAGCTGCCCCGTGTGGCCCAATCCCTTATTTCACAGAAGAAACAGACATGAAGAAAGGAGAAATGTGCCATGGCCTCTCATCAGTCAGAAAAGCTGGGGCTCGAGGCAGCATGCCCGGTGTCCTTTCAGCCATACTAGGTCACTGCCTCAAAAATTGAACAGAAGGACAGAGTGTACAAATGTCACAGCAGCATTATTCATGGTGGAGAAACTAGAGATGAGTCCCATGTTCAACCTTAGGTAAACAGCAGAGCAAATTCAGCTGGTGTAGCCCAGGTCTCTTCTCTGGTCTCCGAGCTTCCACACTGGCCTCCTTGCTGTCCCTCCAGCATATCAAGCAAGTCTCATCTCCTCAAGGAAAGTAGCACGATTGTGCTTTCCATTCTGTGGTGTTGATGTGATGGTTGGATTATTAGAGTTGAGCGGGACCAGAGGTAAAGAAGCCTGCTGCCTCCCATGTGAGAAATAACGATGCGTAAGGCAGCGGGAGTGGGAGTGAAGAGGCCAGGATGGGAGAGAGATTTGGCGGAGGAGGTTCAGCCAGGACCGGCTGACTGGCTGGTGTGGGCAGGCCCCAGGTCGCCTATTCAGGGTCCTTGTGCACATTAGAAAAGGGCACCCCTGTGAGCAGATACACCTCCAAGCAGTGGGACAGGCTCTGGACAAGGGTGTGAGAGGGAGGAGTCGAGGATGACATCGGTTTTAGACTATATACACGGATTTCTCTCCTTGGCTATTACACATGCCAAGAAAGCAATATCATTTCATTAGCTAGTTCTGGTTCCCTTGTCAAAATTAAGTTCCCTTCTCAGAGATGAAATAATCAGCAAAGTAAATTATAACTCATCAGGTGCTCTGCTGTTAGCTGAATGAGCCTTCTGGTAGGCCTCTTGCTCACCACAGGCCCACACCCCCGCTCTGTCTAACCTCTGACAAAATTCTGAAAGAGGTTTTAGGAAAACATCATCCACATACAAACTGACTAGGAACTACAAGAAGGAAACATCAAGAAGAAATACCACAGGTCAGAACTTTTCATGCTCTCCAAGAGAGCATGAAAAAAGGATTTCAAAAAATGTATACCTTCTGTTCAGTCCAAAACACTGTCCCAAATGTCACTTTATACCATCATAACTTGGGATATGTTTATATCTTTTTAAATAACTATCCAGGGACTCATTCAATAAATGAACTCATTTAATAAGTGAGTGAGCACCAATTTTATGCAAGGCCCATGATAGCTTCTATGTGAGGGAAAGGTTAGCTCAGGCCTTCCACATCTAATGCAAATTCCAGGCCATCGGAGCCAAATCTTCCAACAAGACATGGTGGCCAACCTTGCTTGCAACACAGAGCCAGACCCTCTAGGTTTGACTCCTGGCTCCATCACTTTTATAGGTTATTCAAACCCTTTTTGTCTTAGTTTGCTTGTGTATAATATGGGGATAATGGTAAAGCCTACCTCAATGGGATGTTATGAGCACTAACCCAAGTTAACACATTTAATATGAGTTAGCACAGTGCCTGGCAAATAGTAAGTACTTCAGCAGTGTTAGCTATTCCTATTATTTATTGTGTGTTATACTTGATTTCAAAATTAATAATTATATCCCTGGCTAGTAAAAATATTTTAATGACATGAAAAATATTTCATGATACATTGTAACTTGAGTTTATTACAGTGTCCTCTCTCTCTCTCTCTCTCTCTCTCTCTCTCTCTCTCTCTCTCTCTCTCTCTCTCTCTCTCTCTCTCTCTCTCTNTCTCTCTCTCTCTCTGCAGTAATGATAAATACAGGATGGGACAGCTTATTTCTGAGTGGTTTTCATCCTCTCCTTCAGGCTTAGATCTATTTTCCAAAATTTTAAGTTATTTTTAAATATTAAACAACAACAATGAGAAAGACTTTATGTATCCTGTTTATCAGTCTTTTCTTGGCTAGATTCTAAAGTCCATGAAGGCAAAGATAGTAGCATCTCAGAATCTGACAAACCTTCTTTAGTCAGTGCCCGGTTCCGTTTCAGGCTGGCCCCAGACCAAAATAAGAACTGGGCCAAGCTTTGTTTCCATGCCCTCTTTCGGTCCCTCTTGCTTCTCCTTTCAGGCACCCATCTAAGGGGCTGATTGCTTCCTTCATTCAACTAACGCTTGTTGAGTGTCCTTGGAGGTCCAGCACTGTGCAATGTGCTGAAGGTGAAGAGGACTCTGTCCTTGGTGACTTGTGGCCTCATCCTGCCCCTGCTGACCATCAGTTGTGATGGTTTGTAGCCCCAAGAACAGTCCTCCTTTTAATCTTAGCTCTTCCCCATTCCTGGACCCACTCCTGCAGAGCCCACACTTGCTTCTCCTCCATTTTGCTACAGATGACGTAATCCCTGTGCATCAGTCCTCATGTGTCCTTGTGCATCAGTCAAGTCCTGGCAGAAAACAGCATTGCGCTCAAAAGGGCTAAGCAATAATTGACTAAAGAGACTGCTCACAGAGATGTAGGCAGGGTTCAGGGAGCCAACCAGGTGTTCCAGTGCCCTCAAGGACTAGGAACAGCAGGAAGTCGTGACTACCCGTAGGCCAGAAGGGGAAATAGTGTTACTGGAGCTTATTGAAGCACTCTGATATCTGTAATCACAGAGCAGCACAGACATTGCTACCCCTGGCACTGGAGCAGGGCGAGAAGGAGAAATAAACACTCAGCCCTCTCATCTCCTGCCAGTGCCCATTTGGCCGCCTACATAAACCAGAGGGCACGGATATCCAGGTGATACAGTCCACCTGGCAATATGTTACTCTCCATACTAACAGTTTCATCATAGATCCAAGTTAAGAATGGCATCAATTTCAGGCCTGGGAAGACCAATGGGGGAGATATTTTAGGTCAGACCTCTTCAAATCAGGTCTTCTAAATAATTAATCCTCCAATCCCTGCTGCTGTGGGTGCTGGGGAAATGCTCATCAGAAGGCTAAATGAATGCATTCCAGCTTCATAGATTTTTTTTCTTTCTTTCACATTTTATTCTGGTTAGATTTGAAACAAATCTTGGTTGATTTGAGTACCTAGACTATCTCTAGCACGCCTTTATTTTTAATTTTCATGGTAGGCCTCAAAGACAGAGACCAGAAGCACCCCAAGACACCCACAGTGAGGCAGTCATGGCCATGGGCACATGCCCACCATGCTGAAGATGTGTCTTCCCCATGCCTCAGCTGTGGTGATTTTCAGCAACGCCCATACCACTGACCGAGAAGCGGGAAGCAGAGGGTAGGGCGAGCCTAAAAGGAGAAGATGGGAGGGGGCTCCTGGCTTCAGCTGGGAGAGGGAGAGGATGTGGGTGGCAATGGGGACCGACTTTCCTCCTCCTGAAGTTCCCAGCTTCTTCCTCCCTTACATCTGTAAGCCTGTAGCTCTGTCCTGATTCACTAACTCAGATTCTTCCCCGTGAGCACAGTAATTTCCTTACTTTAGAAAGAAACTTCCTTGTTGGCTCGGTTATGACCATGACTCCTTCTCTTTGTATACCACTTTAGAGTTTGGAAAGTACTTCCACACACAGTACCTCATTTACTCCTCACACCCCTTGTCCTGTCACAGAGCTTTTTTTTTTTTTTTTAATTTTTTTTTATTGTTAGTTTCAGGTGTACAGAACAATGCAATAGTTACCCTTTTCCAGAGCTTTAACTTTTATCAGTTGAAGTAGCAGGAGTCTTGAGTCTCCGGGAAACAAATTGCCTAAAAAGGCACAGAGCAGGCGGGGTCAGCATGGAAATCACGGCTTTGTTTTTCTGTCTCTCAGTCACATTTTTCTCCCACAATGATAAAGGGTTTCTTCAGAAAAGAAGATGGCAAAGGACTTAAAGGTGGACTAAACTAGTTATAAGGGAGAAAACCGTGTGTATTGAGGATAAAATGCATCAGGTAACTGGTTCTCAAAGCGCTGTCTCCTGACCAGCAGCATCAGAGGCATCTGGGAACTTGTTAGAGATGCAAATTCTTGGGCCTCAGCCCAGAACCCCTGAATCAGAAATAAAAACAGGTATAAAATGGGAAAAGGTAGGTTTAGGAATTTAGATCTGAACAAGGCCACGAGGAGTTGCTGATACAGACCAAAGTCTGGGCACTACTGCATCCAGGGGAAAGGAAGTGTGTGTGTGTGTGTGTGTGTGTGTGTGTGTGTGTGTGTGTGTTGGCACCCTGGAAAGAACACACAGCTGGTGTGTGCATAACAGGAGCTGGGAAGGTAGTTAATTGTTTCTGTGGATCCTACAGCTGGTGCTGATGGGTAAATAAAGAGTGTTCGGGGGCCTTTGCAGCATTGTTTGTAATAGCAAAAGACTGGAGGCAACTCAAATGTCCACCAATAGAGAACTGATCACATGAGTTACATTGCATCCATGTGATGGACTACTGTGTAGTGTAAAAAAGAATAAGAGGCTTGCGATACTTTGATATGGAAAAAAAATCCAAGGTATAATTAAATAAAGAGAAAATGTGTTTGTATAGCATGTGAACTTTGTGTATAAAAATAGGAGACCATTTGTGACAATATGGATGACAAATACAGTATAATCTCACTTATATGTGGAATCTAAAAACAAATGTGCTCACCAATACAGAGAACAGATAGATTATTGCTAGAGGCAGGGGTTGGGGAGTAGGTGAAATGGGTGAAGATCAAAAGGTACAAACTCCCAAGTTATAAGATAAATAAATCCTGGGAATATAATATACAGCATGATGATGATATTTAATAATACAGTATTGTATATTTGAAAGCTGCTAAAAGGGTGGTTCTTAAAAGTTCTCATCACAAGAAAAAAATATAACTATGTGAGGTGATGGATGCTAACTAAACTTATTGTGGCAATAATTTTGCAGTATATACATATATCAAATTATCATGTTGTATACCTAAAACTAATACAATGTTATGTGTCAACTATCTCTCAATAAAACTGGGGAAAAGTAAGAGAACTAAATATATGTTTGTGTTTACTTGTACCTAAAAGAACTCTGGACAGATAGACAAGAAACCAATAACAGAGGTACCTATGGATGGGGGATTGGGGTGAATGGAGGCAGAGGTGAGAGGCCAGCTTTTCACTGCATTTCATTTTTTTAATAATTGTCAAACCTTGCAAATATATGACCTATTTAGAAAAAGTGAGAATAAATTAAAATGGCCCTACGTGTAATTCAGAAGCCGAAGCACAAAAGCTGTCTTCCAAGGAGCCAGGATGGTTGGCATTGGACCCAAGGGCAAATCCATCCTCTCTCTACAGGATGGGCCAACAGAGGACAAGGGTACCAGGCTCAGCCCACACCCATGGCCCCTCCCCCAGCTAAAATCCTTTCAAAATAGCCAAGGAACTTTTGGGGGAGTTTGGACTTATTAATAAGGCTGGGACCAGCAGCTCTCAGCCTTGGTTACACATTAAAATCATCTAGGAAGCTTTAAAAACTACCAATGTTCAGGCCCCATTCCCAGACTGCTCAAATCAGCAACTCTGAGGTGGGGCCTAGAAACCTGTATTTTTAAAGCTCCTCAGACATGGTTCTAAACCACTGTCTCAGATATTAGGGTCAGTTCATTTATCTAGAAAGCTGGAGAAAGTAAGCGAGGCTTTCCAGTAGCTTAAAAAAAGAAAGAACACATTCCATCAAACCTGTCAAGATCAAGTCTGAATGCAATTTTTTTTTTAATCTGGCTTAATTAGAACATGTAATCCACCTATATTTTTCCCCCCTGGGCAGCCCAGTTCTGAAACGAAGCCCTGATATCACCAAATCGCCACTGACAAAGTCAGAGCAGCTTCTGCGGATAGATGACCATGATTTCAGCATGAGGCCTGGCTTTGGAGGTACGAGACGAGCACTCATGGGCATTGTCTTCTTTCTCCAGGTCTGTCTGTCTGTCTGTGAGCAGAAACCCACTAGTTCTGCTCTCCCCTGATCAGGTTTGCCTCAGTTGTCCTTGGTGAGCAAGGCACTGAGCCCACAGCACCTTCTGTGCATCTGCCCTGTCCAGCCCTGCCGGGAATCTCAGGAGGTGACAGCTGGTCAATGGCCAGGCCAGGCCAGTCGAGTTATCTTCAGGTCATTGCTCCTGACAGAGATGGCTCAGGATCCGTGAGGCCAGCAGCTGGCTGTCAGAGGGGCAAGGAGAAGACAGTGCAGCTGCAGCCCAAAGCTGCCCCCTGAAAGTGTTCTGAAATAACAACCTTGAGCTAAATTTGTTCTCACCTGGGAGCTGGCAGACGAAACCCTGGGTACATATCTAAGGGCAGAGTGTGGTCTGCTGGGTTTAATTAAATGAAAATAGCTTGAGAAAATAATCACTTAGCACAGAGGGATGCCAAAGCCCTTTGAAGCTTAGCATGCAGCTGCCAGATTTCTGCCCTCTTAGTGTCAAATAGGGTTTTCATCCTTATTTTTTTTCTTTTTTTCTGGGAAAAGATATTTATTTTAGAAATCGTTTTCATGCCTTTTATTTCTCCCAGTCATCTTCACCCAAAGAATAAATAGATTCTAGAGGGGAGTCTCTGACCAGCCCATAATCTGCTGCTGTTGGATCCAAACCCACTTTTTCACTCCACGATGATCTAAGTGTGCTTCCTACCTGCCCCACATGCCTGAAAGCAGGGAGGAAAAGGGGCAGCAATCTACATTCTTTAGGATGTTGGTTTTTTTTTTAACCTTTTATGAATACTAAGTTTTTGTGGCCTACAAATGCCAAAAAAATCTAATGGTTTCAAGGCCACCCTGTTGTATCATGTCCCTCCTGGAAACTACTCTGCCATGTGGCAGAGATGCAGATCTGTGGGCTTGGCAAATCAACTGAGTATGACTTTGGTTATGGGTGTCAAGTCATGTTTTTCTCATGGCCAGACAGAGACACTGGCTTCCATGGTGAAAGAGGGTGCAAAATCAGGAGGAAAATATAAAAAATTAAGTGGAGGATCTCATGCTAAGGAGCCTCCTTAAATCACATCAAGTTTGGATCAACTTTGGCCTTGGTCTTCATCGTACCCTTAGATGAGCATGTATAACAAAAGAGAGATGCTATTTATTAACCTCATTGCTCCAGAATCACTCAGGACAATTCAGACAAATTTTTTTTTTTTTTACCTCTGCTGATATATTCCAGGGAGCCAACCCATGAGTCCACCCTTTAATCTCTCTGGTTTGACTTCATCTTGGCAGGTAGGAACACCAAACTTCAAATCTGACATGACACTGAGATAACAGGGGAAATACCCCATATGCCTATCTCTTCCATAGTAAAAGTTGAGTAAAAAGAATAAATATTCTTGCCGTGCCCTGTCCACAGGCCCGGCCATTCCTGTTGGTGTGGATGTGCAGGTGGAGAGCTTGGACAGCATCTCAGAGGTCGACATGGTAAGTGTTTCTCTTGCCAGGGCTATGGGTAGCGGACTCCACACAGGGCCTGGCTGGGCCAGGGCTCTGCACACCTGAATTCACTGGGTCTCACACCTCCCTGGGCCATGGGCATTCCCACACTCATGTTACAGATGGCTCGCGGAGGTTAAGATACTTGCCAAAAGCCACCCAACTGGCATGAAACAGAGCCAGTTGATAAAGTCGATCTTCCCTCTCCAGGATCCAGGCTCTTGGCATATGGATGCGTTCTCTGGCAAAGCCTCTCAAATAATAAGCAGCAGGGTCCAAGTAACCAGGCACATCCTACTACTGAGGATTTTGTGCAGCTGTGGAAAAGCAAATGAAGCAGAAGTGTCCCCCCCCCTTTTTTTTTCCTTTTTAGTGAGTTTAGATAAAAAATAAAACATTCTAGAACTGCTTGACTTATAGGACTTTTTAGGGTCTTATCTTAGTTTGGGTTCCCCAAGAGAAATCATTCTAGCACAGGTAGTTTATTTGGGAGGTGATCCCAAGAAACACAAGAAGAGAGTTGGGGCATGAAAGAGGGAAGGGAAGAAGCAAAAAGGGCCATGCCTTCAAACCAGTTACTATTGGGGTATGAGACACTGTCCCATTGAGGTACTCTGGGAGTTGGCAAAGAACAGATTTCAGGGTTATCCCAATCAAGCAGCCAGGGAGCTGTGGTACTTATCCATCTACCTCACTCCCCAACTCCACTCTCTGGAGGAGGGTTGCTTCCAGAGGCATTAACTCTCTGGTACCTCCAGCTTGCCCTGTGTGTGTCCCTGGGAGCCCTCAGGCAGTGGGTCACAATGCTGGCAGTAGCAGCCTTCTCAGTGTGCAGATGAATGCCAGGGCATAAGGAGGAGCTTAGGGAAACCGTTCTATAGAGACCTCTTGCTGAGTTCTTCCCCTGCAGTGTCCTCTTCCTCCTACTGCAGCAAACCCCAGGGACTAGAATTGAGACCTCACAGGGCTCAGTTTCTTTTCCCAGTCAGGTGATGGCTCCACGAGAATACTGTCTTGATGATGATACACAGTGGGTTCGGTGTGTGGGGATCCCCTCTTTCCCCTCTGCCCCCAGGACTTCACGATGACCCTCTACCTGAGGCACTACTGGAAAGATGAGAGGCTGTCCTTCCCGAGCACCAATAACCTCAGCATGACCTTTGACGGCCGGCTGGTAAAGAAGATCTGGGTCCCTGACATGTTTTTTGTGCACTCCAAGTGTTCCTTCATCCATGACACCACTACGGACAATGTCATGCTGCGGGTCCAGCCCGATGGGAAAGTGCTCTACAGCCTCAGGTAAGGCTCTTCTCGGCCCTCCCTCTCTGCCTTTTTTACCTGCAGTGTTCTTTTACACCAGAAGCATGGGGATAAAGGCAAATCACTTGTCTTAACCAAGAAAAGCATTGGCTCCATGGCAGCTATTTTGCTTTTTAGCTCTGAATAGCTAGTTTCTAGCTTTTCAACACCAAGGAAAACAAACTATGCATAAGTAAAAACTTTAAAGAATTATTCCATCTTGAAAATACATGAGGAAATTACTCAAGCTGATAGTTATGATTTATGCCCTATCCTGTATGTTATATTTCAATTGAAAAACTTTACAATCATAAAAGTTATTTCTCTAATAGAAGTCAGATAAACAGATAATGCATTCTTCTCAAAGACTTTCCTCCTTTGACCTCTGTGACTCCCATTTTTTGGGTATGTTTTAGAATTTTTACATGTAATGGCAATAGACAACACACTTTTAGGTTTTATCTGCTTTCTTAAGTCTAGACAATCAGCAAAACGACCAAGCCCTGATTTGTAGCATTTGCCAATTTCTGTAGTGTAAATACACTGCATCGTGGCTGATTTCAAGCTATCAACCTGATGTCTCTAAATGCAGAGTTGGGAAGAAACAGTGGTACGTAGCACACCACTAGATGGTATTTCCACCATATAAATATAGTAGATATAGGTAATTTCAGGAGCATAGATAATAGTAAAATAATTAGCAATTGGTTTTGAGTAGTTACTACTCTTATTTTTAATGTAACATTTAATTTTTAGTTTATATAATTTAATTTTTAGTAATGGCTATGTATAACAACCAGCTTCCAAACTGCCTGAAAGCCTATCAGTCAGTTTTCATGTGCCAGTAGATGTCTCCTCATCCAGCACACCATTGGATGTGACCGCAAGAGGAAGAACCTCCTCTGTGTTCAGAATCAAAGTCATCAGTGAATCTCTTTGTGCCTAAAAACAGATGACTTGATTTTTTTTTTATTGTTAGTTTCAGGTGTACAGAACAATGCAATAGTTACCCTTTTCACCCTCACAAAGTAACAACCCCCCGTCTATTGCCCTCCCACCCCCGATATCATGCTTATCTATTACAATTCCATTGAATCCGTTCCCGCACTCTACTCCATGTCCCGAGGTTATATGTATATATAATTATACTTGACATACAGTATTATTCAACATCAGTTTCAGAAATACAATGTGGTGGTCAGGCCTCTACATCAACTATGAAGCGGACTCCCCAAAAGGACATGGGTCCATCTGGCCCCCTAAGAAATACTTACAACATTATTGATTATATTCCTCGGACTGTCTTTTTCTATCCCTGCGGCCATATTACAATTACCCATTTGTAGATGACTTGATTTTTTTATTGCAAATAATATCATGGGTTTGTGTGATTTAACAAAAAAAAAAAAAAAGAAAAAGAAAAACAAGGCCTAAGTTACTGAGGACTACCACTTTGAGATTTAGTTCAGGGAAAAGATGGAGTAGCTGGGTATCATCAACTGTATCAGCAGCAGGTTCACTCCTAAAATACGTTCTAGTATACTATCGTCCTACCTCATCCACTCATTGATTCATAAACAGAATACATTTTTGTTAAGACCATTCTGGGTGCCAGGGTGGCCCCCAGTGTTGTGTGGCCCCCAGTGAAAGCCTTCCCAGGTCCTATCTTAAGCTCTTGGGACATATGATGAACTGATATGTCACTGCCCTTAGTGTGATTTTAGGCAGGAGACAGAGATGGAACCAAGTGATTAGAATGCAAATAGAGATATGGACCCCCCCTGAAGTGGGTAAAGGGGCAGGGAGGGACAGGTACAAGAAGGTGATCGAAGTTTCCTGGGCACCAAGATACAATAAGTGAATTCATAAATGAGCTTACTCCATCACACTAGGCAGATATTATTAAGGAAATGCTGAAAAACCAGTTCCATGGCTCTTGAGCTCCTATTCAACTTCAAGATATGAAAAGTCAATGTTTGTGGAAGGAAGAAAAGATTTGTGAGAGTTTTCTTTCTTTTTTTTTTTTTAAAGATTTTTATTGGGGAATTGGGGGGATGGGAACAGCACTCGGGAATTGGGGGAAGGGGAACAGAGAAGTTGCTGTCCTTTTGTTCTTCAGTCTAGTTGTGGAGGACGTTGCTTCACTGGCCCAAGTTGGCACCATCACCGCGCTCTTCCCAGGCGAGGCACATCAGTCGCCGGCTTCTGGGCGGCCGCTCACTGCGGCTGCTGGCCGCTCACGCTGGCTGCTGGCTGCTAGCTACACACGGTAGCCCAGGGCAACCCACTGCCACAGGGGCTGCAGCCTACCCGTTGCCGAGGACTCACGGCAGCCCAGCTCCAGGTTGAGCTGTTGTTCAGCATCTTAGCTGTAGAGGGCAGTGTCACTGGCCCTCATATGTGGGATCCGAACTGGGGCCCTCTGGCATCCCAAGCCAGTTCTTAACCATCGCGCCACTCGGCCGGCCCTGTGAGAGTTTTCTTGAGAGAGAGCTGTGGGACTGTCACGAGTGGGCCTGCACTAGGACCACTCAGAGAGCTTGCTACGTGTGTGCCTACCACTGGGGGACACTGCATAGTTAGAGGGCTACAGAAGAGCTGTCGAACCACCCCGGGGGCAGAGCTAGGAGAAGTTTTTGCTGTAGTGGGATCAGTCTGCACTCCCAGGGTTGTTGGGAACAGTTAAGTGTGTGTGTGGAATGGAATGTGGGTGGGACAACCAAAAAGCTGGGGTGGGGAGTAGCTGCTAGAGAGTGAAGGTGCCACAGTGGGAATGAAGAGCTCAGGAAAAAAAATATTAGCTTCAACCATGTAGTAGGTTTAGAGATTGTGAAGTCACCTATCCAAAGAGCAGTCCTGCCCCCACCTCCTTCTCTTTTCTCACTTCTACCCATACAGGAAGTGATCAGAGACGGGCAGAAACTGACCACTCGAATGCCAACTCTGTACCTTAGCAGGGAGGAGGAGCAGAAGTCTTCATTTGAATGAAGCTTGAAGTGTTGGTTAATATCTTGGACCAAAATTCTTTGAACTTCTGAATTGAGATGTGTTTTGTTAATTACAGGGGTTTTGACTCTCTAGTACATGCAAGTAAGCAGAAAAATCATAGAACCTGCCAAGTTTCCATGGAAGACAAAGGAGAATCCCTCAATAAATCACTTTAAAGGGAACTGGGAAAACAAAAACAGACATGGGTTAGACTACACCACAAACTGTGCTCGTTCAATGCGTGGGTTACATGTGGAAAAGCATCAAATCAGGGTGCAAAGAACTAGTCTAATGACCTTCCACCACCAACACAACCTGTTTTATCAGGATTTCCAGGGGGAGATAAGACTACCTAGCTGCTAGCAAAACAAAATCCCTCCCAGAACACAAACACTCCACACCAAATGAAATGTGGAAAATAAGACAACTATTTGGATAATTCAGTTTCAAGAAAGCTCTTTTCCTTGAAATTTCCATTCAAATTAAAAGAGATTTTTTTTGGGGGGGGGGCCATGAATTATCCGTATAATTTCCACAACTTATTCATAGCCATTTTTTGGTATGGTTGAAGAAAAAAATAGTATGTTCAGTATCAGCCAGTGACTATTAGTCATACCCTGCCATGAGATTCCCCACTGAATGGGAGATCTTTCTTTTATGACTGATGATCTGTATTTGTTTATTCTTTGATGCAGAAGCCTATTTTTCTGTGTCAACTCTGAAACAAAACCATTAATGGCCAGCTACTCCTTGCATGTTGGTACCATAAGATCTTTTTTTGTTACTATGGATTTGTCTACTAAATAATCCCCATGGAATTGTCTACTAAAAACACCTATGTCCACTAGCAGATATTATTATCAATATAAAAATATCAACATTATTTTAAAAGTGCTGAATTTGGCAACTGGCATTAAGTGCTTCATTAATACCATTTCTGAAGTATTGTACACAAATATTGACTATCAATATAATCAATAAAAGAACAGAAAAACTTGAATTTATCTAAAACAGAGAATAATACAGGCATACCTAGGATATAATTGCGAGTTTGGTTCCAGACCAATAAAGCGAGCTGTAATCTTTTTTCTGGTGGAAGGTCTTGCGTTCAATTCATAAAAAACACATCTGTGGAGTGCAATAAATTGAAGCACAATAAAATGAGATATGTCTATATGGCCTTATGGTTTCTTTTAAGAAATGATATCATATGAGTTTTTATTTCACATTGTTATATTGACTGAAACCACTGCTTCTTTAAAATGCTCGAACATGATAGGAATTAGTAGAGGCATTCTCTTTGCTTCACACTAACCCCAGTTAAACATAAATCGGTAAGAATACTCCAATAAGAGTATCACTCATAAACTATTCATCTAAATCCTAACACATTGCTTATGAATTATAAGAAGGAGGTAGCTATAGCGGAATGAAGCAGAGGCCTTTTCTGTGTGTTTTAGCATTTTGTACATGTATTTTGCATGCTCTGAAAACTTGGATTTTGTCTTTGGGTTTCTAGGGTTACAGTAACTGCAATGTGCAACATGGACTTCGGCCGATTTCCCCTGGACACACAAACGTGCTCTCTTGAAATTGAAAGCTGTGAGTAGATTCACGCCAGACATCAGCACACAGTTCCTAAGTAGTTCTGAACACCTCTCACTCTCAGCAGCAGGACCGGTGTGTGCCCCTCATTCATGACTACCCTTTTAAAGTGACTTTTTAGATTAACCCTAAGACTAAGGTAATTTTTTTTAAAATCAGGAACAAATTTGGGACTGAAGCCTTCTATTCTCATAATTGACCCTTTTAATGCCCTGTGGCAATGGTTTTAAATTTCGTTCTGTGCAACCTGGAGGTTTTGAAGAATATCCCAGAGTCGTGCTTGGGGAGAGATGTAAAGGGCTCAGCAAATGCAGCCTCCCTCCAACACTCATACATACACACAGTCCGTCCAGAGAGCTTGGTTTTGATCTGTTTTATTGCCCTTCTGAATAAGATTTTGTTGAAGAGAGGCTTTTCTGGCAAAAACCATCGCCCAGGAAGCTGCCCCTGTGAGATCAGGCGGTGGTGGCGACGTTCAGGCACAATTGAGGGACCTCAGGTAACTGGCACACACAGAAGTCCTGGGAAAGCTAAAAAACCAGGCCCCGATAAGAGCAAGGCAGAGGTAAGGTCAGGGTCTAGTGTTCACATCGTGAGCTCTCCACGCACCTGCTCCCCTCTCCAATCTCTGCCAAAATGCCTCCTGTAATGGGCATAGTCTGGACTCCCCACTCCAACTCATATACTCCTCCTGAATCAGCACACACCCCCTGACCCTTCCTGGCCATGTCACATTCCTAATGAGGAATCTCACTGGCACCTATGTAAGCCTGCCTGGGCTTGAATTGGTGGATCAGGTGTCTCCTGGCTCCAGTCATATAGGGCCGAACAGTGCAGGGATGTTGACCCCATACATAGCAGGGCCAAACGGACAGCTCTGCAGGGCACTGAGTGTGGGAAGAGGGCGTCTTCTTCCCAGGACGAAAGGGGGTGACTTCCTACTGCACAGTGGGTTTACGCCTGCTCTGTCATCTAATCTTCACAGGGTCCCTGGGAGAGGTCTATTGTTATCTCCACAGACAGAGGAGGGATGTAACTTGCCCAAGAACGCAGTGCTAAGAAGGACTAAGCTTGTTGGTTCCCGAGTTTGTTTTCCTCGGTACACCCAGGCAGCTCCATCCAGAATGTGGCTTCTTCCTGGTTGTATCAGTAGACAGGGTTCCACCAGAGAAGCAGAACCATGGTCAGAGATTCAGTGCGAGCATGGGGAGTGGTGAGGCAAGTCCAACATCTGCAGGACAGGCTGCCAGGAAGGGTGGGCTGGGAGCTCTGGGCAGGAGCTGGCCCTGCAGTCCACAGGTGGAACTTTTTCCTCAGGGAATGTCAGGTCTGCTCTGAAGGCCTTTCAACCGGACCAGGCCCACCCAGATTATCCCGGACCATCTCCTTTACTTAAAGTGAACTGGTTGTAGATGTCACCTCAACAAAGCATCTTCTCAGCGACACCTAGATTAGTGTTTGATTGAATAATTGGGTACTATAGCCTAGCCCAGGTGAACGCATGAAATCAACCATCACACAGATCAAGGGTTAGAAATAGAATAAAAGAGAGGAATAAAATAAAGCAGGAGAAGGCCCCCAGAAAGAGCTGTTTACACATGCGTAGTCTGGCCTGGCATCTCTGTTAGGTTTTACCTCAATTCTGTCCAGGCTGCAGGTAGGTTGTTCAGCTGGAATCAGCAGTGTGCTCACCTATAGTGCCAGGGGGTGGGGAAGTGGTAACACCAGAGGGAGTGATCCCAGAGGGGAATCACTTTGACTTTACCCTGGGGAGGAGCAACTGGAGGCCCACAGAGAAGGGACTTGTTCTGCTCCCACCTCTTTATATATCCTTTCTTGTTAAAACGCAACCCTTATTACCTGAGAATGTTTAAAGGTGTTCACCATCAGTGATCATCACTGTTTTCAAATAAGAAAGAAAAGGGCTAAATTACCCTGGTTTAGAAGACTGAACCACATACAATTTTGCCACTTTTTAAACATTTCTTATCTACAAAAACAGCAATGTAGTTTGGTTTAACCTAATAAATGGCAGGCTGAATTGCAGGGTGAGCTGTTTTGCAGGAATTATGAACATTTAGGCTTAAGAGCTTTGCTCTGATGACTTCTGGAAGACTGGGGAGAATTACAATAGATTTGCCTTTTTAGATTTTGTTTTGCTTAGTTTAGACTGTGCTTTGTTTATTCAAATGATCTTATTACTATCCCAGTAGTTTGTGTGGGAGATTGGGGGCAGCTTCCACAGAGCTGCAGAGACAGGCTTGTCTTTCCACTGCCATATGCCTGATGCTATCTCCCCTCTTTCAGATGCCTATACAGAAGATGACCTCATGCTATACTGGAAAAAAGGCAACGACTCCTTAAAGACAGACGAGAGGATCTCACTCTCCCAGTTCCTCATTCAAGAATTCCACACCACCACGAAACTGGCCTTCTACAGCAGCACAGGTGGGCATGGGGTGGGTCGAGGGTCAGGCAGGTGCTAGCCTGGTGGGGGTGGGTCATCCTCAATTTTAGGAAAGGTGTGAATTGGTTGTCAAGTGAGCAGAGCCTGTGCTGCTGGATTAGAAACTGAAGCTGAGAATCCTAAACCTGGTCTAGAGGATCATGTGGAGGTAGTTTTTTGACACCACCAAAGCATCAGAACTGATGACTAGAATATATCAGTAAGGACTGAGACATAAGCCATGTGAGGGGGTTTGTCTGAGACAGTCACATTGCCAGTTAAGCAGCAGGCATCTCACCCTTGATATGATTACCACAGCCCTCTCATCTGCAGCCAAGAAACAATCCAATTTAAGGTCTGTTTCTTTTTCTTTTTTTTTTTTTTTAAAGATTTTTATTGGGGAATTGGGGGATAGGAACAGCGCTGGGGAATTGGGGAAAGGGGAACCGACAAGTTGCTGTCCTTTTGTTCTTCAGTCTAGTTGTGGAGGACGTTGCTTCACTGGCCCAAGTTGGCACCATCATTGCGCTCTTCCCGGGCGAGGCAGATCAGTCGCCGGCTTCTGGACGGCCGCTCACGGCGGCTGCTGGCCACTCACGCTGGCTGCTGGCTACACACGGTAGCCCATGGCAACCCACTGCAGCAGGGGCTGCAGCCTATGCCGTCGACGGCGACTCACGGCAGTCCAGCTCCAGGTCGAGCTGTTGTTCAACATCTTAGCTGTGGAGGGCAGTGTCACTGGCCCTCATATGTGGGATCCGAACCGGAGCCTTCTGGCATCCCAAGCCAGCTCTTAACCAATGCGCCACTCGGCCGGCCCTAAGGTCTGCTTCCATTCACAGGCTTCAGCCAGCCCCTCTAAGGGTGCTCCACTCTTAAGCAATCCCCTCTTACTATACTGCTTGCACAGGCCCTCCTCCTCATGACCTTCTTATGAGCCTCGGTACAGGAACGAGTGGTCATTTTCCTGCAGACAGTATCATTGCTTTTTTTTTTTTTTTAAGATTTTATCATAAGCTACCATGAGTGGCCATTGCTGTTTGAACCAATGGTCTGGACAGGCTTGCCACTTCCTGAGGGCATGCTATGTGTCTTCCTCCTGGCAGCTGAGGTTAACAGTTGAGGTTCATTCTCTCCAACCCTTGCCTCTTTTCAGGATGATTTTGCTCAAATCCTTAAGCAGTCTCTATCGCTAAAACATTGTATGATTGACTGCACAGGAAGTACAACCTTTTAAGTCTTTCTAATCTAGAACAGAGGGCTCTGTTTTACTTCCAGCACATCATGACAATCCAGCACATCTTACCTTCTGTGTATATTACCTATGAATCTTGGTTCTTTGGGGGACCCCCATTTCTTTGACCCGTAGCATTCTGATATTCATTCCCTCTTGTCTTAGTCTGTTTGGACTGCTATAACAAAATACAATAGACTGGGTGACTTCTAAACAACAGAAATTTATTTCTCATGGCTCTGGAGGCTGGGAAGCCCAAGATCAAGGTGCTGGCAGATTCAGTGTCTGATGAGACCCTGCTTCCTAGTTCATAGGCAACCACCTTCTTGCTGTGCCCTCACATGGTGGAAGGGATGAGGGAGCTCCCTGGGCCTCTTTTATATGGGTGCTACTCCCATTCCTGAGGGCTCCACCTTCATGACTTAATCACCTTCCAAAGGCCCCATCTTCAAATACCATCACACTGGGTATTAGGTTTCAACATATGGATACTGAGGGAACACAAACATTGTCTATAGCACCTGTACAATCACTTTCTGGAACTGTTATAATTATAACCATTGCATTATAATTGACCAGGGTGCCAAGTTTTCAAGTTAATGTTGCCAAATCCCCGTTTTATTTTCAGTCCTTCTTATCTCAAGCTTATCCTGCCTTTGCCTTTTCCTTTCATTGTTCTCCTGTTTCAACTCCTCCATGCATATATTTTTCTTGTAAAGAACACAAAGGTCCTCTCGGATCCTCGCTTCCAAGATGACCAAGAAAAGAAGGAACAATGGTCATGCCAAAAAGGGCCGCGGCCATGTGCAACCCATTCGTTGCACCAACTGCGCCCGATGCGTGCCCAAGGACAAGGCCATTAAGAAGTTCGTCATTCGAAACATAGCAGAGGCCGCAGCTGTTAGGGACATTTCCAAAGCGAGTGTCTTTAACGCCTATGTGCTTCCCAAGCTATATGTGAAACTGCATTACTGTGTGAGTTGTGCCATTCACAGCAAGGTAGTCAGGAATCATTCGCGTGAAGCCCGGAAGGACCGAACACCCTCACCCCGATTTAGACCTGCGGGTGCTTCCCTACAACCTCCACCAAAGCCCATGTAAGGAGCCAAGTCCTTAAGACCAAAGAAATATTCTCTGGGGGAAAAAAATAAAACGGAAATTATACTTTATATAAAAAAAAAAGAACACAAAGGCCAAGCTGAAGCATAGCTGGACCTGTGATCATTCACTCTGTTCCTAAACACAATGTTGTGTTTAGCCTGATATTTTAACTTAAAACTCATTTTCCTCCATAAAGAAATCCAAAGGAGGTTTGTTTGAATCTGTGCCTCTCAGACTTTAATATGTATATGAATCATGTGGGAACTATTGTTAAAAGGAGATTCTGATTCAGTAGGTCTGGGGTAGGGACTGAGAGTGTGCATTTCTAAGCTCCTAGGTGATGGTGATACTGCTGGGTCCTGTCCCGTAGTTTGAGTAACAAGAGTCTTTAGTGACCTTCTCAAGGGATTCCTCTTATGTACAGGAAAGGAGTCAAAGATTTCTGAGATGGATTCACCCATGTGGTGTAGGTATCATGTAATCACTTTGTTCCATGGCTTTTCTCACCTCTACTTTGTGTAGGTATGATAAGATTCTGGTGAAGTGTCTGAGACATTTATGATCCCTTGAATAAATTTTGTTTTATTGAAGGAGCTGAGTTGCTATGGTGTGTACTGTATTTTCTTACATCCCCCAGGCTGGTACAACCGTCTGTACATTAACTTCACGTTGCGTCGCCACATCTTCTTCTTCTTGCTCCAAACCTATTTCCCTGCCACCCTGATGGTCATGCTGTCCTGGGTGTCCTTCTGGATCGATCGCAGAGCTGTGCCTGCCAGAGTCCCCTTAGGTAAGTAACATTTTAAGCACACATTCCAGGCATATGAAAATACAAGCAATTCCTTCCAGAAAAAAAAATCATTCATTTCAGATTAGTCCTAAACCCCTGTTGGCATCATAACTTGGAAATACTTCAAGTTATTCATTCATAGCTAAAATGCCATTATTAAAAATCTAGATAGAAAAAACTACATCCGTGTTCCCACAGGGGCCCATGCAAACAGCTCACCTTTAGTCTTGTTTGAGCCGCATTCTGGGGGGGGGGGTGATCCTGGGCTGTGGGTGCTCTCTCTGCCCACTTGCATAAGGAAATGACATTCTACAACAGGGTTTTTCAAAAGGTGGTCTAAGGGATCTTTGTGACAGATCTCTGATGGAAATTTTTAAAAATGAAGAATTCTGAGTCCCATCTACACGTATAGAATCAGAATTCTGAGAGGACCAGGAACCTGCATTTCGAACAAGCTCTTTCATTAATTTATATATGTATTCAAGACTGAGAAGCCCTACTGTGAGCATTCCACCGATAGCTATTCACCATCAGCTCTATTCCACACTTTAAAATATTGCACCCACTCAATCACATACCACCACTGTGGTTCAGGGGCTTCAAGGAAGGGGGTGCCCCACCAGAATTTAGTGAAACTGGACTGGAGCTGGCCCCTAAAATGACCCCTAGCCCCTGTGATTTGGTGTTTGCCAAGCAAATGCTCTAAGCTTCACTTCAAATCCCGAGCAAATTTCCACCAACAGATGTCCTGTCCTTTAACAGTTGTTCTGTAGCTTAAAGAGTTGCTGTGCTAAATAAATATGCATTCTAGTTTAAATATCTGTCTCCTATAAATGAGGTTACATCATCATCTTTGGTAAAATGGACGTTGCTGAATAGGCAGGCAGGTCCGGCATGGGGGTGGCTGTGAGAGGTGGCCTGATAGCTGATGATACAGGCCCGGGGCCGCAGGAATAGACAAGAGCAACAAGGACATAAATATTCAAGTAAGCCTTATGCACTTTTTTCCTTTTTCAGAGAGGTAGTTACAAGAAACATATATACCTGCTCATGTATGTAATCTTTGTTTTAAACAATGGAATAGAAATAAATGTCTTACTATCAAAACTTCTCTTCTGGAGAAGGAGAAAGAGACACAGGTGTTATGATGAATATGCAGGCGTACAGAGAGGGAAGGAGTGAGCTTGAGGGGTGGAGGAACAGGAGAGGCTTCATAAAAGCTCAATCTTAAAAGATGAGTAGGTGTTTGCTAGACAGAGAGATGGGATGGAGACGTTTTAGGCCAAAGGCGTAGGAAGGACAGAGAATGGAGGCAGGAAGCCATCCAGTGTGCTTGGTGAAAGACAAACACGTGCTTATTTCTCCATTTGTTTGCAGGTATCACCACGGTGCTGACCATGTCCACCATCATCACGGGCGTGAACGCCTCCATGCCCCGTGTTTCCTACATCAAGGCCGTGGACATCTACCTCTGGGTCAGCTTTGTGTTTGTGTTCCTCTCGGTGCTGGAGTACGCAGCTGTCAACTACCTGACCACCGTGCAGGAGTGGAAGGAACGGAAGCTGCGGGAGAAGGTGAATTTACTGAGCTAAAGCATTCACTCAGGGATGCAGCCTGGTTGAGCTCTGGATCTTGGGCAGGTCAGACCTTCTCGGTAAAATGGGGTAATGGTGCCCGTCCTCCTTTATGGGGTTGGTGTGAAGAGCAAATAAAAGAATATGTTAAAGCAGTGTGAAATTTACTCTGGGCTACACTCTTTCATCACTTCGAACATTTACTTAGCACCCACCATATATACCAGAGGTGCTAAGGCAAGCGAACTAACATGTGGCCCATTTAATCTTGGTGGTGTTCATAGTTTAGTCATAAAAAGAAATGACAACTCAACATGGTAGAACAAATTGTTTATGCACCTAGAAGTGTAATAAAAGAAGCTTCCAGGGAAGCACATCCTTCATTCTCGGCAACTTTTCTTCATGTGTGACCTCAAACATCTCCCATCATTTTCCAGGTTATTTGCCCTTCCACCTGACTTTCCTTTCTTCCTCCTGTCTGTAGCTCCATGGTTATCTCTTGCAGAAAACTCTAGCTATATAGTAGTGAACTCTCCCCACAATGCCACATCTTTCAAATTCCTCTCTCCCCCACTCCTCTCTGCCTCTCAATCATGCTATCTGTAAACATTTTTATCAGGGCTCATATCAGTTAATGATCTTGTAGAAAACAGGACAATTCTCTGATCATGAGCATGCTTGTTAGTCTCTGGTATGACATGAAGTTTCCTAAGAGTCATGTGTACACTTTAAACAAAAACAAGACCTGCTATTCTAGAATGTTTACAGTGCCACCACCATTATTTTCCCATCTCCCATCCCTAACTGGAAATAAAAAAAATTAGAAAAAGGCCACCCTTTCCACCGTGCATTTTCCTTTGAAGGGCTTCTGAGGGATGAAGCTGAGCTTGCATCCCAATGTGTGTTTGGTGTGTTCCCAGCTTCCCTGCACCTGTGGATTACCTCAGCCGCACGCTGTCATGCTGGATGGCAGCTACAGTGACGTGGAGGTGAATGACCTGGGCAGCTACATGCCAGACAGTGGAGAGAAGCCGGACAGGATGATGGTGCAGCTGACCTTGGCCTCAGAGAGGAGCTCCCCGCAGAGGAAGAGTCAGAGGAGCAGCTACGTCAGCATAAGGATCGACACTCACGCCATTGATAAATACTCCAGGATCATTTTCCCAGCAGCGTACATTTTATTCAATTTAATATACTGGTCGATTTTCTCATAGATGGTTATAATTCTATAAATTTCACATTCTTTTGTGTGTACTACAGAAGTATCTATATGACAAAAAAATTACAATGAAAAAAAGATTTCACTATCCACCTTTGTCCAGCTTTCCAAAACTACATTGACAAGACACTTCCTGGTTTAATTTGCATTTATTAACCATCTATTGTATACACAGCATTATACTATGTACTGCACGAATACACCATTAGCAACTGATAAGAGTTGTTTCCGGGATCTCCTGGAAAACCACCCTGCCAGGGTTGTGGGCCCACTATAGTTCAACCTCTTTTAGACTCTAGATGCTTATTCACATGAATGATTTCCTTTATGTTACATTCTTTGGGCTAGATGGAATTGGGTCGCATCTCAAGCTCATTTGCAGGGAATATACATGCACCTAAAAATCCCCACTTTAACCAAAATTCATGCTTTAGTTTATAGTCTAGTTCCAATTTTTGATGTATTGCCTCATGTTTATTTTAGTACAAGGCAATACTAATATTCCTATATTTATTTACATCTAGTGGTTAATGAGGTTTCACCTCTTCGCAAGAAAATTTTTTTGGATTGGTGCAATTGCTTCTAATTTTGATGGGAATTTCCCTGGTAGGGAAACTTTGAAGATAAGGGTGTATGCATGCATGCATTTTGTCAGTTTTGTCATTACAATAACTAGACTAGAAAACTCATGTTTAAGTGTTCCCTGTTTTATAATCACTGCCACCTTGATGCATGTCCTAGATCAAAATGAAGTCCTTGTAACTCATTAGGATGAGAAATACACACATGGTTTTTGAAGAGAAAAAAGAACACCAAAAAGAAATGGGAACACATGACTGGACATCTGTATTTATATGCAGTGAATACCAGCATTTTCTATGAACCAGAAAACAAAGGCCACTAATGTCAGGGCATGGGATAAAGGAGAGGGTTCTAATTTAATGTATTACTTTAAAACAAATAGTTACTTATACTACATATGTATAGGATCAACCCCCACCAAACTTATTCAAACAGCATTTGTTTGAAACTCACTTTAATAAAGTGAATTCTATACATAATAATGTCCTTTTCATTCCAAAGTTAATCTGACTGATCACCTATATTAAATATATTTCTTCATATGCAGGGCTATACTTTATTCTCATCTAAAAAAAAAAAAACATTGTACAAATCCTAATTACAAGGCAATCTCCCATTTCCCCCAATTAAAAGTTCATCAATAGAAAGTTTTTTCACACTCAAGTAAATTCTTAAAGGGATATAGAAGAAATAGTTAAACATTAACTTTAATATCAAAAAATTATTTTTAAAACATTATTTTTTTCATGCTTATTTTATGAAACAATTTCATGTTTTCACAGACATCCTTGCCAGGGTCTTCTTCATGACCAGGGCCACTTGGAGTCATCTAGGTTTCCAGGGCATAGCATCTGAACTTCCATCTACCTTGTTTGAGAAACTCCACCATTTGAACCAGCACATAGGATGCTCTATTAGTCTGCTCGGGCCACCATAGCAAAGCACCATAGATCAGGTGACTTAAACAACAGAAATCTATTTTCTCTTAGTCCTGGAGGCTGGAAGTCCAAGATCAAGGTGTCGGTACGTTTGGCTTTTCCTGAAGCCTCTCCCCTCAGCTTTCGGATGGCCACCTTCTTGCTATGTCCTCCCATGGCCTTTTTCTCTGAGTGCACGCATCTCTGGTGTGTCTTCCTTTTCTTGTAAGGACACCAGTCATATTGGATTAGAGCCCCACCTTTATCATCACATTTAACCTTAATTTAACCTCTTTCAAGGCCCTATCTCCAATACATTCACATTTGGGGGTAAAGGATTCAACATGTGAATTTTGGGGGACACAATTCAGTCCATAACAGATGTCCATGAAAATTATTCACCTGCATAATAGTTCATCTAATCCATCTTTTAGGTATTTACTCTTGATCTTTACACAACATAATCACATACAGTATTGTTTTTTTGTTTTTGTTTTTTTAAGATTTTATTGGGAATTGGGGAAGGAGAACAGCCAAGTTGCTGTCCTTCAACCTTAGTTGTGGAGGGCGCAGCTAGCTTAGGTCCAAGTCCAGTCGCCATCCGGCCGCCCATCGGCAGCTCAAGGTGCCACGTTCAATCTTAGTTGCGGGTGGGCATAGCCCACCATCCCATGCAGGAGTTGAACTGACAGCCTTGTTGTTAGGAGCATGTGCTCTCACCAGCTGAGCCATCCTGTCACTTGTTGGCAGCTCAATGGCAGCTCAGCTCGGGCGTAGCTCACTGGCCCATGTGGGAATCGAACCGGTGACCCTGTTGCTCAGAGCTCACACTCTTAACCAACTGAGCCACTCAGCCGACCCCCACATACAGTATTGTTTTTTAAGGTGATCTTTAAAATTGATATATACCCTAGTGATTATGAAGAATAAGTGATTAAATTCATACTAAATTTCTTTGCTATCTTTTCTAGGGAATATCTTAGGTGATCTCTACAAGTATTTAAAACTAGCATTGATTGAGGTCATTTCCATGCTAATATTTCCTCAAGGCAGTTCTCTACTGTCAAAGGCATGTGATTAAGAGAGAGCTCTGTAACATGACTTTGTAAAGACCCAAATATAAAGCAACTCCATATTTTCTGATGAATAATTTTGGAGAAAACCTCACCATATGAGTGGGCATCTAGAGTATTTAAACTTTTGTTGGCATGACTGGAGAGTAGGAAGATTTGGTTAATGATATTGTTGATTAATAGGCTGGTATCATGTGGCCATATTGAATAATCTATTTGAAGAGTTAAAATATTGTAAAATACACTGAAAACAATATCAAACATAATTTATTTCCTGCCTGGTAGTTCAGAAGGCACTTCAAGATTCTGAGGATTGGGCTGGCTGAGTGGCTCAGTTGGTTAAGAGTTGGCTTAAGAGCGCAAGCTCTGAGCAACAGGGCCGCTGGTTTGATTCCCACATGGGCCAGTGATGCTGTGCCCGAGCTGAGCTGTTGCTGAGCTGCCAACAGGTGGCAGGATGGTTCAGCTGGTGTAAAAAGATTGCCGGTTCTATGGTGGGCTATGCCCACCCGCAACTAAGACTGAACTCAGCACCTTGAGCTGAGCTGCCGCCGGGATGACTCAGTGGATAGAGCATGCACTCTAAACAAGGCTGCTGGTTCGACTCCAGCATGGGATGGTAGCTAAGCCCACCTGCAACTAAAATTGAACACAGCACCTTGAGTTTAGAGGCCACGAGCTGCCGACGGGCAGCCAGATGGCAACTGGCGCCCTTCACAACCAAGATTGAAGAACAACTTGGCTGGTCCCCTTCCCCAATTCCCCAACACTGTTCCCTCCCCGAATTCCCCAATAAAATCTTGAAAAAAAAAGATTCTGAGGATTTCTTACCATTGTTGTGGTAAATGTGGACATCATGAAGATATACAGTGTGTTAGCCAGGACAGAATTGGGGTTAGAGCAGCTTTTAATTAATGGCAATATTCTCTTCCTGTGCTATATACTCTTAAGCAATATTCTTTAGTTTTTTCAAATTTCATACTTTATAGGGAGCTGTAATGCTAGATTTGACAGAGAATAAAAAATGTTTTGTTAGTAACAATGAAACCTCACATTTGTCAAACCCAGCTTTATAAAAAGTACTTTCGCATTCACTCTTTCATTTGAACCTGAATGAAGAAACTTTGAAGGCCAAAAAAGGCTGACGACTAGCATGCAGAAAACACGGTTAATAAGTGAAGAATCCTAACCCAATTTTCATCCACCTTATTATAGATAATGAATATTGAACAAGTAAAAAGTCTCACACTTAATACATGAACTATAATATGAGGAAATATTTTTTTACCCATCAAGGATACTTTTCATTCATTCATTCAACATGTAATATTGAGCACCTATTATATAGTCTGCAGTGTTCGAGATCAGTGCTTCTCAAACCATCTGTGGTGAAGGACCAGTTTGTTTTATTATTTTAAATTTCCAATCCATAAGCTTTTTGTATGATGCGTTTAAGTGGAGAATCCCTCACAAAACCGAGGCTTGCATCTGCATTCCACCCTCTAGGAACATGGGCTTGTGAGTTGGCCATGGAGCCTGGCACTAGTGGGGGTGTAATCACAACACGTGTACAGAAAGAACATTTTCATTTCGATGTTGTGATGAGTATCAAGAACTGTGTTACAACAACTGAATTTCAACAATTGTTATATATGGGAAATTTAGTGCCTACAGTAATAAGAAAGTACATTATCCAATGTACACATCAATAATTTTAGAGTAACACCATTTAGCTCACTTCAGTATTATCACACCTCTCAAAATAAATGGATGCTTCAATTTTTCAATTCCATATTCTGAATTTAATATAGTTTTTTTCAGTTATTTTAGTATTAGTACTTTTGTGTGGAAAGAGACATCTTTATTTTTCCTGAGATCAGAGTATTCTATAAATGCTCTCTGGTTTGCCTCAAAAACAATTTACAAATTGAAAAACCACATACAATTGCTATTAAACATATTTATTAACATTCTAGATTTTTCATACATACTTTTATATTAAAAGATTTTTAATACTACTATAACCTGAAAGTAGTAGATAGAGATCACTTACTTGAAAATATTGAGTCGTCAGGAAAGTCATGACACATTTTTGCATTGAAAAACATAGAAAAATACATCATGACTTTCCTGATGACCCAATATAAACTTCATACATATCAAAATGCATCACCCTCAACTATATAATTACAAAGTACTTTCTGGAATGTGTAAAAAAAATAAGTAGTTTATCAGACCTTATATTGCTAGCTAGCACAAAGATAATAGATTTTTTTACAATGAAAATTTATTTTGATAGTTTGAAGGTTAGTACTATGAAGGACAGTTTCCAAAAGACTAAAGTGATGCTTCAGGTAAAAAGTTAGAAATGTATAAAACACAAAAACTATCAGAGGTTTTTTTAAAAAGAGCATATAAAATTAGACAATCATTCTTTGGAAAAATAAAACTTTTTATATCAATTTCTTCTGGTCAAACAGATGGACACAACTCAGGTATTTTAAAATTATTTTATAAACTTCATCAGAAATTTCCAAGACAGCAGCTTTCAAATGTTCTTTAAATTCCAGTGTTGCTCAGATGAAGTAAATCTTATGAAAATGTACCACCAACCTTTAGGGGCATAGGCCATGTCTTACTCTTCTTTTTACCCCCCAGTGCTTAGAAGTAGGCAGTCCTCAATAAATGTTCACTGAACTCAACTGTTAAAAGTAACAGTTAAAATATCAATACAATAAATATATTACTAAATAAACAGTCCTTGGAGGATTGGGGAAATCAAAACACTTTCACTTTATACAAGTATTCATAAACACCTGAAAATGTTCTAATTTATCCTAAATGCCCCAGCTCTTATGAGTGTTATAGGGAAAAGCAATTAAAAGGGAAACATTTCCTGAGTAGTTCATATATGAAGTTTGTTAAAACTGAAAAGCAGTCTGAAAATTGTAAGAGGCAAGCTAATTATTAGCTATAATCAATATTTTTATATGACATAAAGCAGCTTAGTTATTAATAGTACCACATGACTGTTTTATATATACCCCATATTTAGACATGCTTTAAAAATTAGGTCACTAAAGAGACAAACAGCCAACAGATATATGAAAAAATGCTCAACCTCACCAACTATTAGGGAAATGCAAATCGAAACCACAATGAGCTACAACCTCACACCTGTTAGAATGTCTATTATCAATAAGACAAGTAATAACAAGTGTTGCAGAGGTTGTGGAGAAAAAGAAACCCTCATACACTGCTGGTGGGAATGTAAATTGGTACAACCACTATGGAAAACAGTATGGAGGTTCCTCAAAAAATTAAGAATAGAATTACCATACAACCCAGCAATCCCTCTTCTGGGTATCTACCCCAAAAATCTGAAAACATTTACCCGTAAAGATAGGTGTATCCCTATGTTCACTGAAGCATTATTCACAGTGGCCAAGACATGGAAACATCCAAAGTGTCCTTCGACAGATGACTGAATAAAGATGTGGTATATATTCACAATGGAATACTATTCTGCCATAAGAAAAGATGAAATATTGCCATTTGCGACAACATGGATAGACCCTGAGATTATCATGCTAAGCGAAGGGCCAGCCAAGTGGCTCAGTTGGTTAAGAGCTCGCTCAAGAGTGCGAGCTCTGAGTTGGGTTTTGGTGTACCTGAAACAAATTAAGCAAATTGAAAAGGCACTGGCTTCAAAAAACTATATAATCTAGTGGGGAAATAACATTATATATATATATATATATATATAATTACTAAATTTAAGTAATAATAGTGTCATCATTTAGCCTAATTCTGGAAGAAAAACTTAGTTGTCCCCTTCCTCAAGAATAAGATACAAAGCTATAAACGTTTAAAAGTCCTATTCATTTGTCAACCTCCTAAAAATAAGCATTCATCTCCTAAGTATAAAGAGCTAAATATAACCCTTCTAAAAGCGACACTGTTCATCTATTGAGTTATTGGAAAAGTCATGACGCATTTTTGCAACGAAAAACAGAAAAATACGTCATGACTTTTCCGACAACCCAATATAATCTAATGCTGCCCTCTTTAACTTTCAAAATCTTTGGAAGTTCAATTCAAAATGTGAGGTCCAACTAACAAATCAACGATGATAAGTTAAAACAAGTATAAACATTCATGAAAATTTAGCACAATTACTTAGAAATCATGATACTGCAGTATGAGTTCCAAAAGGAAAAACTATCACTATACAGGAAGCAGTCCCCTAAATTCAAATGACATAATGAAGATTAGCTATAGTTGGTTGCTCTGGACATGAGAATTTGACTCCAGCATTTATTTATGTATTTACTCAGTTTATAGTGTAATATGGCTCAATTAACTCACTGGTATATAAAAGTAAAAAGGTATTTAAAAGCTGAACTATATTAAAAAACTGTTAAAACAATGTGAAACATCAAGGTAAGATCTGAAAAAAATCTCATACTTCTAGACAGACTCAGAAACATCAGTTCTCAACCCTTTTTCTGGCATGATAAACCCATGACATATTCCAATGGGTAAACCCTTATTTTGACCAAATTTTTCAAAAATTGATAGAGAAATGTTACAGAAACTCAAAACCTTAGCAGTGCATCTGTATTAGTTCCTCACCATGGATTGTCAGACAGCATTGGTGCAGACTGTACCTATGCCCTGTGTGCCAACAGCAATTGTGCAACTTGCTCTCCCACACAAGAATACTTATCAAATGCAAGTGAAGCAACAGAATGCTGATACTGAATTTTCACTAATTTGTTTTTAAAAAGTAAATTAATCACAAGAAAAAATACAAACACTTTGTATGAGTAACAATTAACTAGTGACAGATATTTTACCAAAGACGGGAGAATGTTAAGTGTGTTGGGATACCAGTTAATAATCACTGTTCTAGAACGTTATCAAGGCTTCAGAAAATAAAACCACATTTCCGACTGCAGGAATTTAAAACTTAATAGTTGAGAAACATAAAATTGGTAATTAGGAAACTAATTGTTTATAGAAACCAGCGGTCTCGGGCAGATCCAGTTCTCAGGCTTTGCCTTTGCTGATCCCTCCCCTGTATATAAAATATATACCAATCAAGACTATCTGAGATTATAAATAATCAGACAAAGGATGGCATGGAGGATCAAACTCTAAAAGCTGACATGAAAAGTTAGAAGACTAGCTTACACAGGGGAAAGGCTTAAGGCAGCAGGATAGCTGCACTCCCGGGTGAAGCAAATGCTAAAAGAAAACAAACGCCCAGAACTCCTAATAAGAACACACTGCTGATGCATTATAATGGTGAGGTCTGGGCAATGCTATCTACGTCCCTATTCTCACTGTTTTCAATTTAGAGCAGCGGTTCTCAACCTGTGGGTCGCGACCCCTTTGGCGGTCGAACGACCCTTTCACAGAGGTCGCTGGGTACTCGTATGTGGGCGTATCTGCATGTGGGCCTAGAGACGGATAGAGGAGCGGTGTCTCGGTTCCTAAGACCATCAAAAATATGTGTTTTCCGATGGTCTTAGGTGACCCCTGTGAAAGGTTGAGAACCGCTGATGTAGAGGCTTGAAGTTTTAGCCTAGGAGAATATCTGGTTATATGATGTAAATCAAAGAGAAACAGGTTTCATTTTACAGTTATACAGGACAGGAGCTGGCAAACTTTTTTGTGATGGGCCAGATAGTAAATATTGTAGGTATTGCAGATCACATCATCCAGTCTCTGTTGCTTTTTTTTTTTCCTACAACCACACAAAAAGTGTAAAAATCATTTTTAGTGCGCTAGCCATATAAAATCAGGCTGCTTGTCAAATTGCGCTGTAGTTTGCAGACCCCGATAGAGAGATAAGCAATTCTCAAGTACTAACTCTCCCCCAAACTATTAGGAATTAGAGGCTCAAAGGACTGTAAGTATAAATGATTCAATCTAACTTTCCAAATGGAGAGCGAAAGGCTCAGAGGGGCCCAAGTGACTTGCTTACAGCAGAGGCCAAATACTCACTTTCCTCTCCTTCCCCTTCCATTTTGGAATGTTTACCCTCCAATTTGAGGACTCCCTTTAAAGTAAAGTATACTGAAGGTTTACTATATTCACAGCTTAAAATGTTTGTTTTACCAGATGCTTTTTTCACATTCTTTTATCATGTTAAAGAAATTCACACTAAAATAAGAATCAGGAAAAACTTATAATGTGTTTAATTAGCACAGGTGCTTAAGGAGGCTAGAATACTATTCCCTAAACTCAGTAAACCACAGTATTGTCCAACCAGGCTGGATAGGCTGGCTTCTGAACAGAAAGAAGCCTGACTAGGCCTGCTAGGAAGATGACAGTTATATGACATTCATTCAAGATAAGTAGACATCACTCTTCTCTTATTAAGTCCTTTTAGAACACACTGGGCTATCAAGTAAACACCTTACAGGAAGAGTCCAATCCTATCCATCTATAATTTTTCCTATTACAGTAACATGGACTTAGGAATAACATTTTAATGCCACTTCTCAGTTAATTATATATAAAACAAGAACATTTTCATTTTCCTTCAAATGGGAAAACTAAAGCTTATTCTTTGTACCTGAGTTTCTGGTTGTTTCCCAAGCATTTCTGATTAAAAACCTGATTTTATTATCAATGAAGAGGTTCTCTAAACCAAAGCAAATGTAGTCAGATATCACAATGGACTTTCCTTAAATTTAGAACTTGAATTTTAAAACTACCTTATAAAACAATTTTACTACCCTATACCAATAAAAATGTTTCATGCATCAATTCTAAATATAAGGTTTGAAATCTCTTGGATCTTTTAAAATACACTTATACAACATATGAATTTATAAAATATCACTGATAAACCATAGATCATCCAGATTGATCTGTGCCACCACATACCAGCTCCTGGGAGATCACAATTCCATCAAATATAGATTTGTGAAAATTTTAATTTTAGATATTTGGTAATGTGTTTTCTCCACAATGTCCTCACTTTTTGGGTAAGAGGAATTTGAACCTTTAAGATTGAAAAACAAGCATGTCCTCCTCCTTCATCAAAAAAAGATTAAAGAAAAAAATCATCACTTCTTCTTAATGATCCATAAGTGGCTCCTAAATCTTCCTTTTATTCTACTTTATTTAAAAACTCTTCTTCTTGAAGTTTCAATTTAAAGTCCTCTCTGATTCTTTCTAGCAACTCTGGTTTAAAAATAACATCCAACGCAGTCATTGCCAGAGCTTTGGCTGTCCGCAACGTGTAGAACTGAGCTTCTTGTGATCCTAAAAGTTGGGGGAAAATAAAGATACCTCCATATTTATTAAAAATTAATATATTCATTTTCAGGTTAGCTCTCAATATATAAATTGCCTCTCCACTGCCCACCATAATACAGTGTTTTCTGAGGTGACATTAGGTAATGTAACAATAATAGGCTAAACTTAAAACATTTAGAAAGGCAGCCACCACTACAGAGAGCACATGCCAAAACACATACCTGCAGCTTCAGTATATTGTTCTGTATGATTCAAGGCATCAGATCCGATGTAAAAATATGGATGAATCCCAGGAACCACAAAACTAACATTTCCAAAATCAGTAGATCCTTGGAAAGGTAAAACAATCCATGAATTTCTAATTGCTAGTCCAATGGATACTAGACCATACTGATCTTATTCAGTCCCCTTAGCACCTGTCATGATTCACTGCTTCTTCTCTTCTAGAAATTCTCTACTCCTTTAGCTCCCATGACTCCACTCTTTCCTGATTGTCTGGCTTTCTCTCTGATTGCTGTCTCCTTCTCTCCATCGCTTCCTTTGCTTATCTAAGTACTGGTGATCCCTAGGGTTTCATCTTTGTGCTGCTGCTTCTTCTCCCTGAGTAGTTGGGCAAACTCATCAACTCCTATGTTTTCAATTACCTTTCAGAATTGGTAATTCCTAAATTTCCAACCTAGGCATCTTTTGGGGGTTCCAGAGTCAACAAGATACTGGACAGCTCCCCTTAGAAATTCTATAAGCACCTCAAATTTAACATACTAATCATTTATGCCAAACCACCATACCCCAACCCGCTCATTCTCTTGAACTCCTTATCTTAACGAGTGCCATCAGCACCCCTTTTTTATCATCAAGTCTTTGAGTTTACTTCATCAATATCCATTATTTTATTTTAGGAGATACATCTCTAACATGCAAACATATTAGTAATAATGCTTTTAAAATGAAAATATCTAAGATAACCCCCAAAACACTTTTGATAATTTAAATTTTAATAGTTATTTGTTACTCCTCAGAAACTGAAAATGAGCTCATATAACTAAGTACTCAGTAGCCTGCATGTTGATGACTGAGAATGAATTAAAATTCTATTTGCCCTTCAAATGGCTTATTTAAAACTTAGAACTAAGCAAATTTAAACACTAGAAATATTTAGAATATAAAGTATGTTGGCTATTTCTAAAAGCAAATCTGCTCATTTGACAGTCTACATTTACTGAACAGTTTATTAGTTTCTTTCCCCTAACCGTTAAGTTTGTGAAAAATATCATTAAAAACATCAGCTTACCTCCCTCTCTCCAAAACTGTTAAACAAAACCATTTAATCAAAGATCATATATCCCATTCTCAAATAACACAAAATACATGAAAGAATTTAATTACCTGAAGAGCCATTCAAAACTGCGTCTTCTGAAATGAATTCTATTCCTAGCTTTTCCCCGTTTTCAACATAAGCTTTCCATAGGCTCTTATTGGGAAGGACATTGTAATAATCATGTGCTCCACCTTTAATTTCTACCTAATAAAAAATTGAAAAAACAAATTTTGAAATAAAAACCTCAAATTCACTATCTAAATTTCTAACCAGCAATGGTTTTTTTTAAACAGAAAGGTTTAAGAGAAGGCACTTTTCCATCTGGATATAAACACTCTAAAATCTCTTACATTAAAATATATATATATGTATTTTCTATAACTATAGTTCCTAGAACCCTATCTTCTTTCTTATATATGCATCAAAACCACATGATGTTACCAGGCTCTACTAGCCAGTGAGTCTCAACTTCAGTCATCTATTGTAAGTAGGATGTGGAGGAGAGCCAGGAATCTCCATTTTAACCAACTCCCCCAAGTAATTATGATGCTGGTGGTCCAAAAAACACACTTTGAGGAACACTGCTCTAGGTTGTAG